CCCTGTGGCTTCATTCAGTTAACATCTCCCTAACCATCAGCTCATCGTGCCTGAGCGGCCCAGAGGCTGCAGGCCACGTGGAAAGATCTCGTGAGCTGTCAGACTTTGAGTGTGTACTCGCACACGTGCATGTGTGTGCGTCGATGCGCACGTGCGTAAGATGGAAAGTGGTTGTGGGGGGAGGGGACACAAATATACACCAGGGTTCTTGGGCTCTAGTTCAAAACTACTCCCTGAAGTGCCGAAGAACAGGTTTGTTTCAGAACACTAATGCATTGTGGAAAAGAAAAAAGAACTTTTAAAGGCAAGTCATCTCTCCCATCCTCTTTCTTCGTTCAGAGGGCCAGAAAAGTGGTATTTCTGGCAGGGGCTAGAGGCGGAATACTCTATAAATACAAAGCCATTAAATCCCATGCAGCGGGAACCTGATCGGAGCCTCCTTTTAATTTCCTGACAGGAGCTGGCCACTAACCCAATTACCCAGAATCCCCGCAGGAGCCCTCCCCGCCCGCCCAACAAGCACAAAGACAGTGAGAGCATATTGCATGGATGTCAGCCCAGCTTTCACCGAAATCAAGTATCTTTTAGAAAACACTTGGGGAAAGGCGGGCAGGGGCCGAGGGGAGGAGGAAGAGGAGGACAGGGAGGCTGCCCGCCTGAGGCAGGTGAAGTGAGGTGAGGAGAAGCTGAGGTTCGCAGGATGAGCCTTCAAGGGAGAGCTGCTGAAAGCCCAGAGCCGTGCTGTAGCATGAGGGCTTCCTGAGAAAGGCAGCAAATGGTTTTCCAGGTTCTTCCACTGAGAGCCTGTCGGGCCACACCTTGCCAGGCTGGGAAGCCCGCCTCTCAGGGGAGAGCTTCTCCAGGGTTGTCCCAAGGGAGACGCTCATCCTGACTTTCGACCCCAGACAGGGGGCCAGCCTAAGAAGGATACCTCCTCTGAGATTCCCGCCAGGGAGTCCAGGAGGAAAATCAGGGCAGCCAGGATGCCCCGCCTAACACAACGGTTGGGCTGCTAGAAAAGCTCAGAGCAAAGGAGACTGCCATTGAATCAAATACTAGAATAACACGCCCAGAGAGGTGACATCGTAAAGCAGTGGCACAGTGGACTTCACCAAGGAGCTGTTCCCCCTGGGCCCCACCCCACCGTGACCTGCTGATGGAGAGTGGGCCTCAACACCCCTGCTCTACAGGTGAAGACGTGGAGGCCCAAGAGCGTGAGAAATAACATGCATAGCGAGGTCCCCTCAGAGCCAGGAGGGCGCAGGCACCAACTCCCAACCTAGTGTGGATTTTGTATTCAAGGTTTTATGAAGAGAAAAATCACTTTTTTTTCCCTCTGAAAATACAGACTTTCACACAGTGGATTTGCTTGAAGTGAGACAAACCTGTGGGCATTGCCGACATTGCTCAGTCGATGATTCCAGAGCCTACAGCAGCCTCAAGGCAGAGGCTGAGCCAAAGGAAGCTGCACAACCAGACATCTCCCTCCCCACTCCGCCGTTGCTGGGCCCCCCAAGTCATGAAGCAGTCTCTCAAGTTGTTTTACTTGAGAAAGGAAAAACTGGAAGACACCTCCACAGCTGCTGGGCAGAAGGCAGGAAATAGCCTTCAGATGTGTAGGTGGGATGGGGAGGAAGGGGAGCGGGCACCCCATCTTTCCCCAGCCTCCGGCCACCCCCGCACCCCTGCACGGGGACCAGGACCTGAGTCCCCGGTTCCTCCGTGCGAGAGGCCCACTGTGGAAGCTTAAGGAGGAGGAGCAGCTCCCGGGAAGCCGGGAGTCTGCCTTTCAGAGTCAGGTCCGTGTGAGGGAAGGAGAGGGAGGCAGGGAGCCCGCGCCAATCCCAGGGGCCTAAGCTCCTACTCACGAAGTGGTGGGGGGACAACCAAACAAAAGCAGGAGTCAGGGCAGCTTCCAAGAGCCCCTGCCTGGCAGGGACTCAGGCTCCTCAATGAGGCAAGCTCCTCCTAAGGGGGCTGGTCCCCGTGGAGCTTCTGATCGCAGGATCCCGCCAAGGCTCAGCACTGCCGGGGCGGGGGGGGGGGGGGGTGGACAGAAACTAAATGGAGGCACTGGGCTTTGTCCACACTCGGGTGTCTTTGTGTCATCCTGCCCCCTCTGGATTTGGAACTGCCAGCACTGGGGTAGGGTGAGGACGGGGAGGGTTCTAGTGACCGCCCCCTCCTCCTCCTCCAGGCAGAGCTCCAGAAAGGGCGTCTCCAGGCTGGGGCCCAGGCAGTTCACCTCAGCACACCTGCCCCGCTCCTGCCAACAGTCTCAGATGCCCCTGGCTGCCACCGAAAAGAGAGGCCATCCTGCACCCTTTCCTGCATCCAAGTCCTGGGCCAACCACAGGGCTATTTAGAGCAGAGGGAGGCCAAGGTTGGGGCCCCCCCGTGCACGTCTTCCCCGAGGCAGAGCTTCTCTCAGGCCCACGTGCCCCCGGCACCCCCACACTGTAGTCTGGGGACACACAGCATCTACTTTGCTTCTCTGAAGTGGCTCGCCGGGTACCTGAGCTGTCTTTGCCACCAGCGTGCACTTGGCCACACACTTCTCTGCTATCAGTGGGGCCCCCTTGTCATTCCCCCGTTCCGGGGGGCCACTAGGAGGTACTCCCACTCTCTTCCCAGGACTGGGTAGTCCTGGAGGAGCGTCTTCTTCAGACAGCGTCCTTGGAGACCAGCAGGGATGTCAGTGGTGGTCCTCCCTCCTGCCTCATCTCTCCACTCCCCCCTGCTCTCCAGCTCACAGTCCTCCTGGGCTGAGGGCAGGGTGGCCTGGGGTTGGGGCAGACGCAGCACAGGGCATGGAGAAGCTCCAGGCTCTGGGTCCAGCTCCCCACAAACTGGCAGGTGGCTAGGGGTGGGAGAGACCTCAGGCCCCAACCTCTCCGCAAGACTCAGTTGTGCCATCGTTAAAACCCAGGAGCATATCGGTAGCACGGCAGCTCCCCTCTGCCCTAGGTTCCTCAGATGCTGTGAAGTCAGCAAAGAGAGGCCAAACTACAACCTACAACCAGGAAAGGCCACTGGACGGCTGACCCCCAGCCTGACCTGGCGCCCTCACACCCAGCTTCCCAGAACAAGGTGGCAGCCCTCATCCTCGGGACTTAGGAGCGAGGAGTCTCTCGCTCAAAGACCTAGACACTGTTAGGTTGGTTTCCAGCAGCACGTGGAGGAGGAAGTCAAGTGGCCAGCACCAAAGCAGACTGCTGAGGGCCTTTATGCCTGTTTCCTCCCCTGTGAACCCCAGGATGCTCTGGAGGAGCAGAACAAGCCTGGTGTAGGAGTCAGGGGACCCAGTTCAGCCACTAGCGTGGGTCACACCCTACACCAGGGTAAGACCAAAATTGTGTAGAATCAAAATGAACTAACTCAACAACCTTTCAGCAGGTCTACGACAGACCATCTTTAATCTAGAAACAGGACTGTTCTTCAGCTGACCCCTCCCCCTCCGCCAATAGAGCCGCTCACACGTTTCTAACAGCTGAGTGGCTTCCCCATCTCAAAGGTGGTAAATGAAGCGGCTAACAAAAAATGCAGTTGAAAGGCCAACATGCTATGTGGATATGGGGGTAGTTGAGGAACTGCTTCAGGAGCTTCTGTTTTAGAGGTGCACACACTGGGCTGGGCTGAAGGGGGGTGCCTGAGATAGAAACTGGGGGAGGGGGGTCTCTGATTTCCACAATAAGGTCCAAGTTGTCCTACCAACAAAGCATCTAAAATTCGTGCCTTCTTCCCCTGGTGGGGATGCAAGGAAAGAACAATGGGAGGAGTGCCCTGGGGCCCTCAAAGGCTGGGCTGGGCTTCCAGAAGCCCCCTCTCAGTGAGGGACTATGTTCTAGACTTGCTTACCCCTTCCCTTTCTCTCCCAGCCTCTCCCCATCATGCGATCATCAGCACACACCTCTTTTCCTGCCTCCTTCCACTTCTGGAAAGATCCCAGGGCCCAGAATCATAAAAGCTGATGTGTAAGAACCTCCACCAGCTCCTTCTAAAGCTGGGTTAGGGGAGAAATACACACACACACGCACGCACGCACGCACACACACACACACCCCATCCCCCAAAATGGTCCTGAACAAGGGTCATCCATCTGAGCGGATCAACAGGGAAGGTGACAAAGAGGAGCCCCAGAGCAGCGCTGTCCAAATGAGAGCTGCATGTTATTTTAAATTTGCCGAGCAGCCACTTTAAAGAAGGTGAAAAAGAAGCGGGTGATATTCACATCATACTACTTGTTGTTTCATCCACTATCTCCAAGATATTATCACCCCAACACGCGATCAGTTTTTAAAAAAATAATTACTACACTGTTTCATTACTCGACTTTTTATCACCCTGGGAAGTCTGGCGAGTGTTCGGAGCCCATGGCCTGCCAGGCCGGCCGGCTCAGCTCCAGAGGAGGCAGGGAAGGAAGAGGAAGGATGGGGTGGCGGGGAACGTGGCGGTGGGGGGGACCTCCACAAGGTGACAGCGATGTCCTGCCCACGTGCAGGAGAGCACAGCAGCCCTGCTCGGGTGAAGGGGACCTGATGTGTCATTCTGAGCTTTAATGTCTCTGCTCTTCGTACGCCCACACTCAGGGCCCTGCCACGCGGGACGGCAGCACCTCAAGCCTACCCCTTCCAGGGTGAACGAGGGGCTTGCCCCAAAAGGAGGTCCTTCCTCAGAGGGCCAAGCCAGCTTTCTAGGGCGCAGGTGGGGTTTCCCAAAGGATCCCGAATGGGGAACTTCCAACACCTGCCTTCCTGACACCCCGCGTCTGCCTTAGGACGCTTACAGCTCTGAGGCCGCTGTAAACCTGTGTGCAGGGTGGTGTGTGGGAGACGAAAAGGGGGACGCCCCCCAGGGAGCAGGGTCCTTCCCTGGGATGTGGGAGGAGACGTCCAGGGTCTGCACTGGCCCGGGGACAGGAACACAGGGGCCTGAGACCCCCGGTGGGCAGGGACCCCGGGCCTTGGCGAGAGCATGGCGTGGGTGTGCGGGCCTCTTACCTTCCTTCAGCATCCCCACTTTGAGGCATTTCATGAAGCGGCAGGCCTGGCAGGACTTGCGCCTCCGTTTCGTGATCTCACACTCGTTGGTGGCCGGGCAGCTGTACTCGATGTTCCCTGCAACCAGATACACACAGGGTTACGGGTGGTGTCAAGGGCCCCCACCGCCAACCGAAGGCCAGACCTACAAATGCCCCGTGTCCCGAGGACCCCAAAGGGCAGTAGTTCTCAAAGCAGGTGCTCTGAGGTGCTTGTCAAAATCTTTCCAACTCTCTTCAATACAGAGCTCCTCGTCCCGGAGGTCTGTGTGGGCCAGGCAGCCACAGCCTGGAAGAATGGTCACCCCCAGCTCTGAAGGCACCACTGAGCTGGCATTTTATCCCAGAGAACACCCCCCCCTTGCGCGGACCAGAATGTAGGTGCAGACCACGAGCCCCTGTGCCCTCCAGCCCGGGGCCCCAAATCATGGGAAAAGCCTCTTGGCAGCTCTGGGCCCACAGGGCCCAGGCCTCTCAGCCTGCTGACCATGAGGAAATCACTTTCCTCTCCCCGAATCTCGGTTTCCTCCTCTGCAAGCCGTGTGGTACCTCCAAAATGAAAGATTAGCAAGACCATGGTTATAAAATTGCTTTAACAACTGTAAAACACTGGGGCACCTGGCTGGCTCAGCTGGTGGAGCATGGGACTCCTGATCTCAGGGTAGTGAGTTCAGGCCCCACGCTGGATGTAGAGCTTATTTAAAAAAAAAAAATTTGTAAAGCACTACTCCACATTGAGCTGGTGATTATATAACCACAGTTCATTACTACAGAGGGTGTTTGGGATCATTTTCTGTCTCGCCCCTTTAATGAATTATAGTAACGGCTACCATGAACCTGACCCATGCCCCCACTGTTTACACGCTCCATCTCCAGCCACACGGAGATCAGCCCCTGCCGTGCAGAAGCCTTACAGGAAAAGCTGGTTGAATGAGTCACCTGCTGAATCCTCAGAGCAATCCCATGAAGTAGGTACTGATCCCCATTTTACAGGAGAGGCTGTGGCTGCCTAATAGAGGCCAGAGCCTCTGTCCTTTGTACACTTACCTGTCTACAACCACTTAACCAATATGCATTGTGTAGCTATAAATGCGAAGGACAGGGGGCACAGGGGGGTGGGGGGCGGGGAAGGCAACTGGAAGGTAAAATGCAAGAGAGCGAGCAACCCCAGCGCTGCTTTGTTTTTATTTGGTCTTCCTGGCCCCGGTCCTGGTCCCAACTGTGAGGTCCTCCAGAGCCTGTGGTTTTCAGAGAACAGACACTGAACTAATGCAAACCTCCTGTTCCCACCCCCTCCAGACGCCCACCTGCTGAGGGAGCATGGTGAAGCGACGCCCAGAAGGCTGCCTGCCTGCCACATCCCCCGCTCCTGAGGCCCCGGGACACTCCTTTAAAGCCGGGGTGCTGTCCGGCCCATCTCACCCAGCAAGGACACCCCACACGGAGCAGCCTTGGAAAGGTCGCTCCCAGCCTAAGACAGGGCTTAAAGGGGCAGTTCCAGGCCTGCCTGGCCCCTGAATCCACCCCCAGCCCCAACCCCATCCACTTCAGCAGTTCCAACAGTTACTTTTACCATGCACCTGCTCAGGAGTGGGCCCACCAACGCCCCATTTCACAGACCCAGAAACTGAGACGAAGGGTGCTGAAATGAGTTACTAAAGGCCACAAGCAGTTCCCCGAGCCAGCCTTGCCCCACCCTCCCTGCCGCCAACCCAGTAGCTGAGGCGGTCTGGGGGAAGTCAGGGAGGGGGCTCCTCTCCAGCATCCCTGTGCCTCAGCCTCGTGTGGCAAGTGGAAAACACTGACCGTTGGATTTTCTGAGAGCCAGCAGGAACCAACTTTTACCCCTGACAAAGTGCTCTGAAGTAATAAAATTGTTGAACGCCAAATGCAAGGTGAGTGCTCCCAAGAGCTTGGCAGCCTTAGCCCCCTTTTGTATTGGTGAGGAAGCGGCTGATCTGCCTGGGGCACCTTAGATCTCCATCAGTCTTACCCCACCGGGCCTCACTTTAGCACCTTTCTCCCGCCCCACTTCCTGTGGGGGAGGGGAGTCTAGAAGTCAGCCTCCGCGCTGGAGGGGGGGGGGGTCAGGAAGGGGAAAGGATAAAGATTCTGCGTGCCCCTCCCCTCTTTTATCCAATGCTATGCCCGTCCCTGTCTTAGTTTGCTCCGACTTGTGTGACTTCTGGCAAGTAATTTCAATATTCCCATAAGCACGGTAAATTGAAAAGATGAACAGGAAGAAAACACAGATATAAACTAATTCATCCAAATCTACCTTGGCTTGGAAGGAAGGCTCTGTAGAATTTGGTCCCGGCCGCCTTCCTACCCCACTCGTTTCTCTTCAGCCTTGACATCCCTGTTGCTCTCCACAATGATCAGTTCCTGGAACTCAGTGATAACCGAGGCCTCCAGGCCTTTGTTCCAGCTGCCTAGAACACTCCCAGTGAGCTCTCCGCCACCTCACCTGGCCGGCCTACACCTCCAGGGCCCACTTAAGATGCTGCTGCTTCTCCTCCCTGTGTGACTCCAGGTGCCCCGCACACAGCAGGTGCTCCATCCACACGGACAAGGGCTCCTCATGAAGCAGCCATGGCTCTGCTTTTCCTATACGGCCTCCTCCCTTCCCCCAACAACTGTGGAAGTGAACACCTTCTTTTCTCCATCTTAGTGCTGAGAGAGGTGAGCGGAGTCCAGGATGAGGCAGAGCAAGGACTTGAACCCAGATGGTCTGGCTCGAGTCTCGCCCTGAACCACTGTGCAGTGAGCTCCCCGCATTCACCTGGCAAGGTAACTCATGCTGCCTTGGGAGGCCACTTGCGTGCTGCCAGCTCTTCACCTCCACCGGTCCCGGCTGCACAGGCAGCTTGACATCCCCCGGAGGAGGATGGGTCCCAGGTTTTGCAGGGTTGTTGCTCGAGCAGGGGGTCAGTAACTGTCTGTCGATTTGGCACTGGTGCTCTCCCAGGACGAGAGGACTGAGCGTTAACAAGAACCTGAGCAACATTCTTGACCCCGTGTGTGTGTGTGTGTGTGTGTGTGTGTGTGTGTGTGTGTGTGTGTGAGAGAGAGAGAGAGAGAGAGAGAGAGAACTCTAATTTTATTTATTTATTTTTGTTCCTTTCAATTTGTTTTATGGCCCCAGCGGCTGGCTGCCAGCAAAGTCAGGCTGGTGGCCTTGCCTTGTAATTTCTGTAAGTGCCTCCTCGATAAAGTGATGAGATTAATTCATCAGAATTCCTGTGGTCTCTGGAGGGCAGTCTAGGAGAGCCGGGAGCAGGGAGGGGCGTCTGTGGAACACACACGCACACACCAGCAGCAGCAGCAGCAGCACCCGCAGCTGAAGTGTGGCAGGTCTGCAGGTGACCTCTCAAAGGACAAGGACACAGCCGATGGCTAGCATAAATTCGGAGTTCTAACACGGGAGGGTACCCAGTATAGACAGAGGCAGACACTACGTCAGGCAAGTCACGGAACTTCCCTGGGCCCATTTCCTCATCTGTAAAATGGACCCAGCACATTCCCCTCTTCTAAAGTTGTGTGATACAGGGACAGAAAGCACGTAAAGGGCTTAGTGAGGTAAACAAACGTGTGTGGGCAAGCAAGGAATCAAGGCTACGGTGCTTATTTTCACATCCAGGAACGGCTGTCAGGGTAAATGCACCAGAAGACTCTGGGGTAAGTCTTTTCTAGGTGTCAGACGCGAGGCCAGCCACCGGTTCTGACATTTAAGAACCTCAAGACCGGTGGTGGCCTCAGAGCTGGTGCGCCTGCAGCGGAGGGGAGGCAGGAACGCCCGGAACCTGATCTGCACTTCCGTGTGACCTCTGACCTCAAGGCAGAGGGGAAATCCCCACCATCAGCTCTCTTTGATCCTGTGCCCCAGAAGGAAACCCCAAGGGCATCCCCATCAGCTGTCCCTGAACAGCTGCAGGCAGCCGGCCGTCCTCTTGCAGGACTCAGGGGTGGTGCGCAGAGCTCAGACAGAGGGCTCCCGGGAGGACGCCTGTCTCCAAGGCGGCTGGCTAATGTCTGGAGCCTGAATGGCCACCACTTAGGTCACTGCTGTGGAAGGGCTGGGATGGTAGTCACTTGGTTCCCGCCCCCTGTTTATCTCACTTCTGGGGGACACAGACTTTTTCTTCTCTGTGTGTCCCACTGCCCTCAACTCCACACCCTTCCCTCCTCCTTCAACGGCTCGCCGGAGGATCTCATTCCCACCATGGGCTCCCGCTATCACATACTTGGTAAGGATCAGCAGCAAAAGACGCTGCCAGCATCCATCTGGCTGCTGGATATTTCCACGCGGAAGTCCCTCACACTTCAACTGAACCCATCCTCACCCAGTCTGCTCTTCTCACTGTGTCCCTTTGGTCAGAAACTGAGGTGGCATCCTGGATTCTTCCCTCTCCTTCGGTCCTAAGGTCCTTCTCATCCCACTCGGTTCATATTTCATCGCTCCCTCCCCTCTGGCCACAGCGCGTCCTCGTACTCATCACCTCTCACCTCACGTCTGTCTCCAGGTCCCATTCCAGTTTACCCCCACACCGCCCCTGGAGCGATGTTAATAACCGTCCTGTGCAAAACTCCTCCAGCATGGCATGCTGAGTGGCAGCACCGGAGTGAGAACTATCGCAGAAGAATGAACGAAGTGAAAACCAAAGTAGCTAGGGGCGCCTAGTTGAGTTGGTTGAGTGTCCAACTCTTGATTTCCGTTTGAGTCGTGATCTTGGGGTTATGGGGTTGAGCCTTGAGTCAGGCTCTGTGCTGAGCATGGAGCCTGCTTGAGATTCTCTGTCTCTCCCTCTCCCTCTACATCCCTCACCCCCTGCCATGCACTCTCTCTTTCTAAAAACAAAACAAAAAACCAAACAACCAAACAAAAAAACCAAAGTAGCCAAAGAGGGGGCTCTAGATGACAAGCCATTTGTACTGCAGAACCTCAGAAAGCCTCAGGCTTGAAGACTGAAGATACAGCAGAAGATGTAGTGGAGTGTGAGGCTGGAAACAGGGGAATTTGCTGCTAATCTGTATTTAGGGAGCACTTAGCTACTACTTCATGTGGCCACCAAGGAGTCC